CTAATTGATCAGATCAGCCCCAACTTCTAGAGCGTTAACTTCACTATTAAAAGCAGTTCCCTCCCCCGAAGGGCCGGCAAAAGCACAAATCAAATTTCCCAAGTGGTTACGAATAACCCCCCCAATCGCCGTTTGATTATCGCGGCAAGATCCATCCGTGTTTAGGGCATATGAATTTTGCCGTGGGGGGGTCCAAGCATGCAAGGAAATTCGTTTGGCTTTTGGGCTTTTGGGGGTGATGCCTATAGATTGCAGCGAGTCAATCCCATATTTGCACGAGTGCATAGAAGGAAAAACAATAGCATCCAAATGTTGAAGAGTGTCGATTATAACCATTCTCGCATGCATATGGTCCTTCTTCATACCACCATAAATAGAATTGTTTCTGTAACTCCATATTTGTCTACAAATAGCAATGCAAGCAAGCCTACCCATTATGGAGAAGTGAGATTTACCTTTACAGATGCGAAACCACCATTTAATGCGCGTGGTTATAGATTGAGCAGGGAGATAAGGAACAGCAAAAATGATGCTGAAGTAGGTCCATAGAGATTGGGCAAGTTCACTATCAACAAAAAGATGTTCAATAGACTCAGATTTGTGGTTAAGGCAGCAAACACATTTTGAGGCCAAAGCAATGCCATTATGTTGAGCTTTCATGTCCACAGGGAGGATATTATGAAATATCTTCCAACAAATTAATTTAGCCGAAAATGGGGTGACAGTGGACCATATGTCAGCGAGAATGGGAATAGTAGGATAATGCCCACGAATTGATTCCCACGCCGATTTAACCGAGAAGGAACCAGATTTTTCAGGGGCCCAATGCCTAATATCATCATCCTCCGTCAGCCTAGGAGCATGGTCGTATAAAGCCTGCACTACATTAGTCCCAAGTGTAGGAATAAGATTTTCAAAACACCAATTACCTTCATGACAAAAATCCCTAAGTTTCAGGTGGATATCCTCATAAGGACTGAGGCGATCCAAGAGAAACTCCGGGTGCCATCTGTCATACCAAAATGATACATTACCCTTACCAATAGTCCACCCACACAGATGCGAGAAAACTTGTTTAATAGCAAGGATTTTCTTCCATTCCGGGGAGCATCTAATAGGGCAATTCCAATCAGAAGGAGAAGGTGGAATGGAGTATTTTTCATGCATGAAAGCAGTCCAGATGGAAGAATTATTACATATATTCCAGCAGTGTTTAAGACGGAGGGCACTGTTAACATCAGTTAATTTACGAATTCCAAGCCCCCTTCGGACATAGGACGACAAAGTTTATGCCAAGAAATCCAATGTTTTTTATGGCCAAACTCCGAGGATCCCCAGAAAAAATTAGCAAACAGACTTTCAATTTTAGAGAGGACGGATTTAGGGATAGAGATGGCAGAAAGAAGATGGATCGGCATGCTCGATAGGACGTGTTTTATCAAAATGAGTCTACCCACTTGGCTAAGGACTTTTCCTTGCCACCCTTGGAGGCGGACTTTAATCCTATCAACAAGAGGGGGGAAAGGAGCAGCTTTACGTTGACCTGGGCCAATCGGAACACCAAGGTAAGACATAGGAAAAAGACCACGGATGAAATGAAGAGTGTTGTCAATAACTCTAATGCGCTCACGGGGAGCTTTAGACTTAATGTAGTATCGACATTTGGCTAGGTTTAGTTGTTGACCAGAACTTTGAGAATAAATATCAATGATCTTCAAAATGAGATTAAGGGATTTACGCGCTGCATTGGTAAAAATGATCAGGTCATCCGCAAACAAAAGGTGAGAAGGACAAGTGGCCTTGGTAGTGGAAAACCTCGCGTCAAAAGATATCATGTTCTCAAGACCACGGGAGAGGGATTCCTCAGCTAATATGAAAAGACTGGGGGATAGAGGGTCTCCTTGACGGAGACCCCTAGAACTACTAAAGAAGCCCTTGTATATACCCTGAAAAACGACAGAGAAGTTACAATGGAAAATACAGGCTTTCATGATGTCAATCCAAGCCTCAGAGAAACCAAAGCGAGACAGAACTGACCATAGAAAATCCCATTCAAGGCGGTCTTAAGCTTTGTTCATGTCAAGATTCAGAATAATGTTTGGATGTTTGGATTTTTTATCAAGATCTCTGCATATTTCTTGGGTCAAGCTGATATTGTCTGAAATGTTTCGGCCTTTGACAAAAGCACCTTGATTAGACGATATGATGGTAGGAAGGATCGAGGCTAATCTAGTACATAAAGCCTTGGCAAAAATTTTGTACAAAGAACTACAAAGGCTAATGGGCCGGAAATCATTAAGGGAGTTCATTTGATGTTTTTTAGGAATAAGCACGAGGATAGTGTGGGTAAGGCAAGCCGGAAGTTTTTTGTGAAGAAGAAAATCATTCGCAGCTTCAAGGATAGAATTACCGACGATACTCCATTGGGAAGTGAAGAAAGAAGAGGAGAAACCATCAATTCCAGCAGCACTATAAGATGGAATGGAAGCTCAGAATGAGAGGAGGGGTCCCATTGAGCCTGAAGGGAGGATTCAATACGAAGAATATCGTTTTCAAGATCCTTCTTTTGAGTGAAAATATTGCCAAAAATGGTGGAATTCCATTGTTTAAGGGCATATCGGAGGGACTTGAGTTTCATGCAAATATCAATGATGGGAGGGTGAGACCGAGGACGTTGCCAAATATGGAGGACCTGAGCTTTGAAGGATTCATGACGAGTCCACATTCTCTGAAATCTCCAAAGCCTAGGACCATCATAAGATTGATTATTCCAAGAAAGAATGATAGGAGAGTGATCAGAGAAAGATCTATGGAGAGCATGGGCAGACAGGTTCCCCGAGATCAACAAATCAGAGGATTGGAAGAATCTGTCAAGAGTTTGCCAAGTGCGGGGCCTACTCTCAAAGTTATTGCACCACGTATATTTATGGCCCGATGTGCTGACAGGGGCCATGTGGCAGTCATTGATACAAGCATTGAATTCCTCCATCGCTAGGGGTTGAGGAGGGGCTCCTCCAATACGATCCTCAATGGAAGAAATGGTATTAAAATCCCCTCCCCACAACCAAGGCCCAACATTGATAGAGTTAATGAAACAAAGGTGGTCCCACAATTGACGACGGCGTTGAACAATATGTTTACCATAAATCGCCGAGAGAGAGAAAGAGAAGGAAGGCAAAGACACTGAAATGGAGATGCATTGAGTGTCTATGCGGATAGGCTGGACAAGAATACACGGACGCCACAAAATCCAAAATTTACCCCCAAGGTCTTCATTGGATAACCAGTTTGACGATTCGCAGAAAAAGTGGAATTTCCTAATGAATGTGGTCGAAAGAATGAGTTCAATAATGATGAATAAAAAAGGGTTGTGTTCGGCAATTAATTGTCTACAGAAACCAAAAGTGCTAGGGTTAGCTATCCCTCTGGCATTCCAACATATTAGTTTGAGATTATTCATTTATGATCCGTGGCAGGCTAGGGTTAGCTATCCCTCTGGCATTCCAACATATTAGTTTGAGATTATTCATTTATGATCCGTGGCAGGGTCTTTTCTGGCCCTGAGCTGGACTTTTAGAGGGGTGTCGGGGTGTCTTTTGTTTTTTTGGAGGTTTTATGGTGATTGAGGAGGAGGTCATCAGTGTTATGACCTAGATAGTGGGAGGGATCAACATTTTGTTCTTCACCCTCGGATACAGTTTGGGCAGAAAAATATTGTTTCCTTCTTGGTCCAAAGGAGAGTTTGGTTGAGAGTCCATCGCTATAGAGGATCCTGAGTCCGATTCCACAGGGGAAGAGCTATGGATGTCAGAAGATTGGGGGAGGGCTATAACAAGCGCACTAGTGGAAGAGGGCATAGCCTTACTCGCCACTGTCGATGAAGTAGCAGGGGTATTAGAGACAGGTCCAGAGGTAAGAGAGGTTTGGATGACAACCTCTTTTGGGGTAATGCATGATTGATCAATGGAATCTATTTTACAAGAAACAGACTCGAATAAATCTTGATTAGCATTAACATTAGTTTGTTGATTTTTAAAACGCACTGATTTTCTCTTTTGATTCTTGGAAAGAGCTTTCGAAGGAGAAAGAGGTTGGTTATGACAGGATGATGGATGGGGATTAACATCAGTTGGAATACCATCTGGGGTAGGAACTAAAATTGGTTGATGCGGAATAGGAATAAGCTGATGCTGCTGGTTTTGGGGGGCATGGATCATAACTACAGAGTCCGCTAGCGGGAGGGAGGGGGCAGCCGACGACGTGGGTCCTGAAGCTGATTGGGCTGGAATAGAAGAGGATAGGGGTTTAATGAGGATATTTGGGGGAACAGGAAGAGAGACTGAAAGTGGCTGGTTTTGCCCACTGACATGCTGCCTAGACCCACTACCATTCTGCCGAGAAAGATGAGAACGCTTGGGTGGTTGAGGAACATGGACAGGAGCTAAGGGTTGAGGAATGACAGGGATACTTTTGTGACAAGACACAGATAGATGACCCTGAGAGTAACAATTATTGCAAAATTTTGGGAGTTTTTCATATAAAATCGGTTGATCAAAACCTTCATAAAGGCCAATCCATATAAATTGAGGCGGGGGTTTACAGAGGTCAATTTCAACACAAAGACGGGCTGCACTAGGCCTAGCAAGAGTGGCTGTAGCTAAGTCCAAGCACAAAAAACATCCAATTTTATTTGCAACAGTTCTTAGAAATTCAGGAATAAAACACTGAAGTGGGAGATTCGGAAATGAGATCCAAACAGGGGCGAAACATGAGTCCTCTTTAATATGACAGAGACCGTGCCACCTAAAAAATTTATAGGGGAAAGTAATCAGGGTGGACGATGCTCTAGATAGGACTTTTAGGAGGTCTATTTCATTTTGAAAACGTAGCAGAAAAGCTCTCGATGATAGGGGGCCAATAGAGAAAGGGTGATTAATTCCCCAACTCATAATTTCTTTGTGACCAGCATCAAGAGACGGACGGCTACCCTGAAATTTCATAACCAGCGCATTATCATACAATTTCTCAATTTTAGAAAGCTCTGAATTGACAAAGGAAAAGGAGAGTTTACCATCCTTTGTGCCACTTATGATGTTTGAACCTGTTTCTGGAAGGCGAGCAAAAGATGCCACCTCTTGAGCATGATTTCTGACGAAGCCAGGGCCTCTGGAGTTTTTCGCAGCTTGGGCATATGATAATTGTTGAGGATGGGAAGGAGCTGAAAGTCTCGGCGCGGAGGCTTGGGCATAGGAGCGTCTAGGTAGCTAATTTTACTGCAGGGGGAGGAGCGACAGGGGCAACTCCAAGCGGCTGCTGAGAAGAAAACTGCACAGGATCCACCACTGAAGCAGACGACGGATCGAAAGATGCTGACGGCTGAAGAGAGCTGCTCGATGCAGCGGCTGAGGAATGGGAGAACGGTGCAGGGCCGCTGAAACATGACCTACTGTAGCAGATGGCTCGGCGAAGGACGCTGAACCTGACGCGACCGCGAGAGAAGAAGAAGCGCCGCTAGGGCGGCTGGCCGGCGCAGATGGACCTGGAAGCTCTGAGGACGACGGGAGGGGGAGAAGAGGGGGGAGGGCAAGCGGATTTGGAGCTTCGAATTGAACCAAAACCGCCGGCGGATCAGGCGGCGGAGCCGATAAAAGATGATCGAAGGCCGGAGGGGTCAGATCTGGAACAGGAGCGGCCGGATCTGGAGGAACGAGAGGCGGATCTGAAGAAATTGGGGAAAGATGAACAGTGGACTGGGGTAAAGGGGGTGTGAACAAAGACGAAGGCGGAACGAACGAAGGCTGGGGGTTTTTAAGCGGGCCATCGTGGGGAGCACCATGCCACGTGGCCTGTCGGAGGAGTGGCCTCTGCAGCCGGTCGTGGGAGGGCCGCTGTTACGGGAAAGCGGAAGATGGAGAGAAAACGAGGAGAGAGAAAATAACGGGCAGGGACAGTGGGAATCTCGGTGGGGACAGTGGGAATCTTTTTTTTTAACAGAAAACTAAAATTCATTAATTTAGAAAAAGGTTACATTGGTTCGCCTCTCCTTATGAGAGCGATAGGATCAGAGGTGAGAAAACAGACCTCACCCTTACAAGCAACTACTGCAACATGGATTATAACCAAAATTGTGAGCTTATAATGTGGCTCCTGAACAAAATGCAACATACCAAAATTACACTATATTCAGTCTACTCTGCCACATCAAGACTTCCTGAAACCAACTCAACATACTTAAAAGCCAAGTTGATCCACGGGTGCAGAAATAGAATCCCCATAGATGCAGTCAATGAACCAGAATCCCTGCATTGAATGAGCCGGCCATCCAGTAACTAAAATAAGCAACGGATAAACACTGCTATAGTGATTCATATATGGGAGAAGCCATTTGCATCAGCAGTATATAGGTCCCGCTACAGTGAAGACCAGAGAGCCTAAAAGTCACTTCCAGCCTCCATTCCAAACGAAATTTCAGCATCAGCGTAGCACCAAAACTTCCAACAAAATCCAAAAAACTATGGTAACCAAAATTTCCAGCAGATGACTTCTTCCATAACCGAAAGGGCCAATACCAAGGATAAAACCATAGGGATCCTGAAACGGGCCAATCAAAACGCAAACAAGGAAGTGTAAACATAGATTTGCACCTAGACAGCATGTAAGAAAACATGAAGGTCACCGCTGCTATCATCTATGAATTGATGAAGACCCTTTTCAGGCCCTGAGCTGGACTTTGAAGGACCATCAGGGTGCCTCTTGTTCCTTTTGGAATTTTTGGGCCGCTGGTAGAATGCGTCATCTGAGATATGGCCCTGGAGGGAGATAGGTTCCACATTGAGCTCCTCTCCCTTAGAAACATAGGACTGTGGGGGATTTTCATCTTCATGAGCACTCGCCATGGAATAGTTGGGAAGGAAATCAGTTTCTACAGAGGCCCCAGAGTCCGACTCCATAGGAAAATAGGAAGGATCGGGGGGGTTCTTCATAGGCATTTGAGGTACCCTCATGAGGAGAAAGGCGAGCTTTGTTAAATTGATCTATATGTCGATTAACAACATCCCATAAGTCCTGGTTTGCTTGGATATTAGACTGTTGTGGCTTGAAACGAACCAATTTCTGATGCTTAGAGTGTGCTTTCAAAGAAGGGGGAGGGGGTTGTTGAAGCGAAGGTTGATGCAGAGGGTTCGCGGCTGCTGGAGGTACTACAGCGACAATAGATCGAACAGGAGTGGAGCGCGGTCGGGGCATAAGTTTTATGGCTGGAAAACGGATATGGGGAGGGGTTGATTTCTGGGCGCTGGGGGGACTGCACCAGCAGAGCACGGAGAGGAGAAAGACTTGGTGTTGGATGGAAGTGATGAGGGGGCTACTGCGGCATCACATCAGAGCTGGAAGGAGCTGGCAGATGCAGGTTGTTAAACATTGCCTTATGTTGCATTGATGGGACTAGATCCGAAGGGGAGAAAGGTGCAGCTTGGGCGGACAGAGACTGTGTCGGGGAGGGGGCTGATCCGAAGGGGAGAAAGGTGCAGCTTGGGCGGACAGAGACTGTGTCGGGGAGGGGGCTGCATCAGGGGCAGATGCTGGACTTGCATTGCTGACTTGCTGGGCCTCGGACGATGGAGAGGGGGCAGAAGATGGAGGCGAGTCAGAGGCGTAGGGGGGTCTGTAGCAGCAGATAAAGGAGAGGGAGAGTTGTTGGCCTTGGCGTTGGATGGAGCTGGTGGTAGGGGCGGATGCAGCGCCTCAGCGTTGCTGGACTGCAGGGTCGGTTGAGGTTTGGAGCATTCAGCATTAGAGTGCCCCTGCATATGGCATCCCATACAAAATTTGGGCAGTCTCTCATATACAATCGGTTGTCTATGACCTTCAAACAAATCAATCAACACGCATTGCGGCCTCGCCTTCCTCAGATCAAGTTCAATACAAATCCTCGCTGTGCTAGGACGAGCCAGCGTAGCCGTGGCTTTATCCAAGCATAGGAATCTGCCGATCCTGTTCGCTATCGATTCCAAGAATTCAGGGGCAAAGCATTGTAGTGGGAGCCCCGGCAAAGAAATCCATACCGGCACCATAACCGAATCTTCATTTTTATGACAGCGGCTATGCCATCTAAAAATTTTGTATGGGAATGTAATAAGAGTTGAGGATGGCCTGGTAAGAATTTTCAGGAGGTCCCTTTCATCCTGAAAGCGGAGCAGAAATGATCTCGAAGTGAGAGGGCCGATGGAGAACGGACTCTCAAGGCCCCAACAGGAGATTTCTTTGTGGCTAGCAGCGAGCGAAGGATTCCCCCCATGGAATTTCATGACCAGGGCCTTAGCATACAGACCCTCAACTTTGTGCATATCCGCTTGGGCATAGGATTTGGGATGAAGAGGATTGGCTTGGGCATTTCTTCGATCAGGTGGAGAGTGGTGCTGGGGAACTGTAGGTTGGGCCAGAAGAGGAGCATCAACATGATGAGGGTGCTTGGGGAGACTGCTGGACAGCGGAGGGAAGGCTGAAGAAGGCGGAGCAGCTGACTCCGGCGACACTGCAGACAGCGGCTCTATAGCAGATGAAACTGAGGCATTTTGTCGAACAGGTTCAGAGCGAGACTGAAGATGTGCAGGTTTGGCAGGAAGGGGAGCATCCGAAGGAGGAGAGAGCCGACTGGAGGGTAGTGAAGGGACAATGGGAATCTCTTTTTTTTAACCAAAGTAAAAACTAACATTAATGAAGAGAAAAATACACGAGGTCGCCTCTCATAATGAGAGCGTACAGTTCATAAGTGAGACATTCCTCACTCTTACAAAAGGTCTAGTAAAAGACTAAAATAGAACTAATTTGATGAAAGTGGGAATCTCTTTTTTTTACAAAAAACAATAACAGGAGTCTGTTTTAAGGCCTACACATCAACAAAATACATATGGAAAGTAAAGTGAGAACCACTCCAGCTTCAAGAACAAACATCTCAGGAGACAGCAGCAGCGCTAGAAACTCGCCACAGCCAGCAACCAATTGGGATCAATCTTCGAAAAAGATAGGAAAACTCATGATGTTGCTACAGTAAATGCTGTTGCTACAGTAAATTGGAATACAAGAACACGCCCAGATCCTCCAAGCGCCTGGACCAGCATCACTTCCGCAGCCGCAAATCCAAATGAACCAAGAACACGCCCAGATCCTCCAAGCGCCTGGACCAGCATCACTTCCGCAGCCGCAAATCCAAATGAACACAGAAACCAAGCTGGCCAAAAACAAAAAACAAAAGAAAACCAGACAGCGCCAGAAAATCGAAGGGAAGAAAACAAGATTTAAAAGATTACATACCTGATAGATGGGACCCCTCAATCTCAGATAAAACCGATCCTCCTCACTTGAAGATCACAAAAAGAACAAGGCGACAGAAATCCCATAGGAACCACTGGCTAGGGAAGCTCCTGAATAGCATTCCAAGCCAGCACCCAACAAACCAAAACAAAAGTTAAAGTTTATTTTGCACATTAGCGGCTTCTGACATAAGAAAAACCCATCTTGTCGCGCCACAAAAGGTGCTGAATGTGCCTAGGAAGAAGAGCAGCATCAAAGAACTTGGTAATTTGGGTGAGATCGTGGCCTAGTTTAGATAGAGCATCTGCAACAAAGTTAGATTCTCGCATACAATGTAAAACATGTATATTACGCAAATTAAAATTCATGGACTTCCACTTGTTGTGCAATTGCCAGATAGGGCATGCTTGACCAATGCTCTTGACTAAGGAAACGGAGTCAGAATAGGCTGTGGTAGGTTGTAAGTTCATCTGATTGATCAGATCAGCCCCAACTTCTAGAGCATTTACTTCACTATTAAAACCAGTTCCCTCCCCCGAAGGGCCGGCAAAAGCACAAATCAAATTTCCCAAGTGGTTACGAATAACCCCCCCAATCGCCGTTTGATTATCGCGGCAAGATCCATCCGTGTTTAGGGCATATGAATTCTGCCGTGGGGGGGTCCAAGCATGCAAGGAAATTCGTTTGGCTTTTGGGCTTTTGGGGGTGATGCCTATAGATTGCAGCGAGTCAATCCCATATTTGCACGAGTGCATAGAAGGAAAAACAATAGCATCCAAATGTTGAAGAGTGTCGATTATAACCATTCTCGCATGCATATGGTCCTTCTTCATACCACCATAAATAGAATTGTTTCTGTAACTCCATATTTGTCTACAAATAGCAATGCACGCAAGCCTACCCATTATGGAGAAGTGAGATTTACCTTTACAGATGCGAAACCACCATTTCATGCGCGTGGTTATCGACTGAGCAGGGAGATAAGGAACAGCAAAAATGATGCTGAAGTAGGTCCATAGAGATTGGGCAAGATCACTATCAACAAAAAGATGTTCAATAGACTCAGATTTGTGGTTAAGGCAGCAAACACATTTTGAGGCCAAAGCAATGCCATTTTGTTGAGCTTTCATGTCCACATGGAGGATATTATGAAATATCTTCCAACAAACTAATTTAGCCGAAAATGGGGTGACAGTGGACCATATGTCAGCGAGAATGGGAATAGTAGGATAATGCCCACGAATAGATTCCCACGCCGATTTAACCGTGAAGGAACCAGATTTTTCAGGGGCCCAATGCCTAATATCATCATCCTCCGACAGCCTAGGGGCATGGTCGTATAAAGCCTGCACAACATCAGTCCCAAGTGTAGGAATAAGGTTGACAAAACACCAATTACCTTCATGACAAAAATCCCTAAGTTTCAGGTGGATATCCTCATAAGGACTGAGGCGATCCAAAAGAAACTCCGGGTGCCATCTGTCATACCAAAAAGATACATTACCCTTACCAATAGTCCATCCACACAAATGCGAGAAAACCTGTTTAATAGCAAGAATTTTCTTCCATTCCGGGGAGCATCTAATAGGGCCATTCCATTCAATAGGGGAGAGTGGGATGGAGTATTTTTCATGCATGAAAGCAGCCCAGATGGAAGAATTATTACATATATTCCAGCAGTGTTTAAGACGAAGCGCACTGTTCACATCAGTTAATTTGCGAATCCCAAGCCCCCTTCGGACATAGGACGACAAAGTTTATGCCAAGAAACCCAATGTTTTTTGTGACCAAACTCCGAGGATCCCCAGAAAAAATTAGCAAACAGACTTTCAATTTTAGAGAGAACGGATTTAGGGATAGAGATGGCAGAAAGAAGATGGATCGGCATGCTCGATAGAACGTGTTTTATCAAAATGAGTCTACCCGCTTGGCTAAGGAGTTTTCCTTGCCACCCTTGGAGGCGGACTTTAATCCTATCAACAAGAGGGAGGAAAGGAGCAGCTTTACGTTGACCTGGGCCAATCGGAACTCCAAGGTAAGTCATTGGAAAAAGGCCACGGATGAAATGAAGAGTGTTGTCAATAACTCTAATGCGCTCACGGGGAGCTTTAGATTTTATGTAGTATCGACATTTGGCTAGGTTTAGTTGTTGACCAGAGCTTTGAGAATAAATATCAATGATCTTCAAAATGAGATTAAGGGATTTGCGGGCAGCATTGGTAAAAATGATCAGATCATCCGCAAACAAAAGGTGAGTGGGACACGTGGCCTTGGTAGTGGAAAACCTCGCGTCAAAAGATATCATGTTCTCAAGACCACGGGAGAGGGCTTCCTCAGCTAAGATGAAAAGACTGGGGGATAGGGGGTCTCCTTGACAGAGGCCCCTAGAACTACTAAAGAAACCTTTGTATATACCCTAAAAAACAACAGAGAAATTACAATGGCAAATACAAGCTTTCATGATGTCAATCCAAGCCTCAGAGAAACCAAATTGAGACAGAACCGACCATAGAAAATCCCATTCAAGGCGGTCATAAGCTTTGTTCATGTCCAGATTCAGAATAATGCTTGGATGTTTGGATTTTTTATCAAGATCTCTGCATATTTCTTGGGTCAAGCCGATATTGTCTGTAATGTTCCGGCCTTTGACAAAAGCACCTTGATTAGACGATATGATGGTAGGAAGGATCGTGGCTAATCTAGCACATAAAGCCTTAGCAAAATTTTTGTACAAAGAAGTACAAAGGCTAATGGGCCGGAAATCATTAAGGGAGTTCATTTGTTGTTTTTTAGGAATAAGCACGAGGATAGTGTGGGTAAGGCTAGCCGGAAGTTTTTTGTGAAGAAGAAAATTTAGGAATAAGCACGAGGATAGTGTGGGTAAGGCTAGCCGGAAGTTTTTTGTGAAGAAGAAAATCATTCGCAGCTTCAAGGATAGAATTACCGACGATAATCATTCGCAGCTTCAAGGATAGAATTACCGACGATACTCCATTGGGAAGTGAAGAAAGAAGAGGAGAATCCATCAATTCCAGCAGCGCTATCAGCTGGAATGGAGGCGGCAGCACTAGCTAATTCGTCGATGGAAAAAGGAGCAGTGAGGAAAGCATTAGTGTCATCCTGAATCGAAGGTGGAATCAGGCTCAACAATTCTTCTCGCACACAATGAGGCTCAGAGGACAGGAGGTTTGATAGATGGTTAATAACCGCCTGATGAATAGCAGCGGGACCATGGAAAGAATCCCCATTCAGACCCTTAAGAGAAGAGAGCTGAAACAGACTCTTATTACTCCGAACCATACCATGGAAAAATTTGGAATTAGAGTCCCCTTCCTTAAGCCATCTAATACGCGATTTTTGTTTCCAGAAAATTTCCTCCCGGATAACAATTTCGTGCCATTTAGCTTTGAAAGACTGCAGCTCAGAATGAGAGGAGGGGTCCCATTGAGCCTGAAGGGAGGATTCAATGCGAAGAATGTCGTTTTCAAGATCCTTCTTTTGAGTGAAGATATTGCCAAAAATGGTGGAATTCCATTGTTTAAGGGCATATCGGAGGGACTTGAGTTTCATGCAAATATCAATGATGGGAGGATGAGACCGAGGATGCTGCCAAATATGGAGAACCTGAGCTTTGAAAGATTCATGACGAGTCCACATTCTCTGAAATCTCCAAAGCCTAGGACCATCATAAGATTGATTACTCCAAGAAAGAATGATAGGAGAGTGATCAGAGAAAGATTTATGGAGAGCATGGGCAGACAGGTTCCCCGAGATCAACAGATCCGAGGATTGGAAGAATCTGTCAAGAGTTTGCCAAGTGCGTGGCCTACTCTCAAAGTTATTGCACCACGTATATTTATGGCCCGATGTGCTGACAGGGGCCATGTGGCAGTCATTGATACAAGCATTGAATTCTTCCATAGCTAGGGGTTGAGGAGGGGCACCTCCAAGCCATGTGGCAGTCATTGATACAAGCATTGAATTCTTCCATAGCTAGGGGTTGAGGAGGGGCACCTCCAATACGATCCTCAATGGAAGAAATGGTATTGAAATCCCCTCCCCACAACCAAGGACCGACATTGATAGAGTTAATGGAACGAAGGTGGTCCCACAATTGACGACGGCGTTGAACAGTATGTTTACCATAAATCGCCGAGAAAAAGAAAGAGAAGGAAGGCAGAGACACTGAAATGAAGATGCATTGAGTGTCTACGCGGATAGACTGGACAAGAATACTCGGACACCACAGAATCCAAATTTTACCCCCAAGGTCTTCATTGGATAACCAGTTTGACGATTCGCAAAAGAAGTGGAATTTCCTAATGAACGTGGTTGAAACAATGGGTTCAATAATGATGAATAAAAAAGGTTTGTGTTTGGCAATTAATTGCCTACAGAAACCAAAAGTGCCAGGGTTTGCTATCCCTCTGGCATTCCAACAAACGATTTTGTGATTATTCATTAATGATCCGTGACAAGGTTTCTGGCCCTGAGCTGGACTTTCAGAGGGGCGTTGGGGTGTCTTTTGTTTTTTTAGAAGACTTTCGGTGATTTTGGAGGAGGTCATTAGTGTTATGACCTAGAGAGTGGGAGGGCTCAACATTTTGTTCTTCACCCTCGGAGACAGTTTGGGCAGAAAACATATTGTTTCCTTCTTGATCCAAAGGAGAGTTTGGTTGAGAGTCCATCGCTATAGAGGATCCTGAGTCCAATTCCACAGGGGAAGAGATATGGATATCAGAAGATTGGGGGAGGGCTATCACAATCGCACTAGTGGAAGAGGACATGGCCTTACTCGCCACTGTCGATGAAATAACAGGGGTATTCGGGACAGGTCCAGAGGTAAGAGAGGTTTGGATGACAACCTCTTTTGGGGTAATGCAGGATTGATCAATGGAATTTATTTTATGAGAAACAGACTCAAAGAATTCTTGATTAGCACTGACATTAGTTTGTTGATTTTTAAAACTCACTGATTTTCTCTTTTGATTCTTAAGAAGAGCTTTCGAAGGAGAAAGGGGTTGGTTATGACAGATGGATGGTTGGGAATTTTCATTAGCTTGAATACCATCCGGGGATGGAACTAAAAGAGGTTGATGCGGCTCAGGAATAAACTGATGCTGCTGGTTTTGGGGGGCATGGATCGTATCAACAGGGAAAAGTAGTGGGATGGAGGGGGTAGCCGACGACGATGGCCCTAAAGATGATTTCGCTGGAATAGAAGCGGATGGGGGTTTAACGAGGATATTTGGGGGAAAAGGAAGAGAGGCTGAAAGAGGCGGGTTCTGCCCACTGACATGCTGCCTAGACCCACTAACATTCTGCCGAAAATGATGAGGACGCTTGGGAGGATGAGGAACATGGACAGAAGCTAAGGGTTGAGGAATAACAGGGATACTTTTGTGACAAGACACAGATAGATGACCCTGAGAGTGACAGCTATTGCAAAATTTTGGGAGTTTTTCATATAAAATCTGTTGATCACAACCTTCATAAAGACCAATCCATATAGATTGAGGCGGGGGTTTACGGAGTTCAATTTCAACACAAACACAGGCGGCACTAGGCCTAGCAAGAGTGGCTGTGGCTAAGTCCAAGCACAAAAAACGACCAATTTTATTTGCTACAGTTCTTAAAAATTCAGGAATAAAACACTAAAGGGGGAGATTCGGAAAAGAGATCCAAACAGGGGCGAAACATGAGTCCTCTTTTATATGGCAGAGACCGTGCCACCTAAAAATTTTATAGGGGAAAGTAATCAGGGTGGACGACGATCTAGATAGGACTTTAAGGAGGTCTATTTCATTTTGAAAACGTAGCAGAAAATCTCTCGATGATAGGGGGCCAATAGAGAAAGGGTGATCCCCAACTCATAATTTCTTTGTGACCAGACTCAAGAGACGGACGGCCACCCAGAAATTTCATAACAAGTGCATTATCATACAATTTCTCAATTTTTGAAAGCTCGGAATTGACAAAGGAGAACAAGAATTTACCATCCTTGGTGCCACTGATAATATTCGAACCTGTATCTGGAAGGCGAGCAAAGGCTTGAACCTGTTGAGCATGATTTCTCACGAAGCCAGGACCTCTGGAGTTTTTGGCAGCTTGAGCATATGACAATTGTTGAGGAGCAGCAGACCTTGAGAGCCTCGACGCGGAGTTTTGAGCAGAGGAGCGGTTAGGTTGAGCGACAGTAGCAACTACAACCTGCTGCAGCTGCACTGGAGCTAAAATAGAGGCAGATGATGGCGCGGTGGAGAGGATAGGCGCTGTAGTTGAGGGGAGAGTTGTGATAGCCGACCCTGAAGCTTGCTTTGGGAG